GTATGTATAATACAACCATAGATAATACATACAGGATATGCCTACAACAATAACCCACCATGGGGTCGCCTGCCAAAAGCACCTTAGATTTACCGTGTTTCTGATTACGATCATTTCGGGGGATATCGATTTTTTTTTCAAAATGAAAATACTTGATAATAACATTTTTTTTTAAAACTTTAATGATGACATAAAAGCTTTTATTCATTTTTAAAATGTATCGTTTTCAGTTTTAGATTCTGAGTGAAACGAGGAATGTATTGGTTTTACAATAATGTTTATATTTTTTTTTTTTTGTGCGAATACTTTTTTTACCAGAAAGCATACTCCGATTATCAAGTACAGTACTTTTCCTGAAAGGAGAATTTCTCTGGGTGGTGCTTTAAAGAGGTCGTTTTTTGAAATTCTCATTTACATTCAAGATAATGAGGAAAACCTCGGTCTTTAGATTATAAAAGATTGAAATATTAAAAGCAAGAATATCATTGACAGCCGTTTTTATTTATTTTTTGGTATGATTAAGTTTTTATTATTTTATTCTTTTTCATACAATTATTGTTGTCACGAAATCGCACTTTATTTTAATCATTTTACCATAATATGACATAATAAAAATACATATTTTATTATTTACAAAGCAACATTATCAACTTGTCTCGGCTCAGAATCGTTTTTCGTTAGCAATGGTTTATCGTTTCTTACAGATATACATTAAATTTCCACCTGTAGCCTAACTTCCCAGCTCTCCGCCTACAACACAGTCACTGCACCTACGTGCGAAGTATGTCAGACTTTTTTTTTATTTTAACAATGTCTTTTAACATCGTGATACTATGATATTATTATTGTTAAAAATTCAATTTAACGAAAATAACCAAACAGATTACCATCATGGTTACCTCGGTGTTCTTTAAGCTTGCGGCTTTGTGTGTAATGTCCAAACCTTTATGTATTATCTATGAATACAACTGTCCGGAAGCGTAATGTCTATGCACACGCGAGTCCTTTTCGTCGACCTCCTACGGCGAAAGAGGGAATAGTCGCTTACATATCTTAAATTCCCAACCAAATACTACTGCGAGGAGAATAGTGTTCTAAGTGCAAACCTAAACCTCGGTTTTATTTCGCGTGCAGTATGTCAATATGCGACTTGGAACAGCGGGAGCGGTGCGTTTACGGCCGGTGTCGCCCACCAGGTTCTGGCAGGTGCAATCCCGTGAGACAGACTCCGTAGAACAAAAATAAAACCTCGTATAAAGTGTATAACACGATAATATTATGTCCGTATTCGCGGCCTACATTTATTACACAGCACGGTACATGGATATTTTTAAGCGGGTGTACTTATAAATTATGATAATTTCTAATCAGTAACGGTGTCCGAGTGGCCGCGACACCCCGAACCCTCAATAAATTATGCTGTTTTAAAGTTGTTCATCTTATTAAACGCGGTTGGAACGCGTTGTGCTTTTAAATCATTCACGATACAACGATGGGACTAATTTGGATTTATGCATATTATATTATAGGGTTCTACGCGACGGCTTACTAAATCAGAGTTTGGGTTAACCGCGAATAAACCGCGTCGCTTTAAGTACGGTACATAATATTATGCATCCGAGAGACATCCTGTATATTATATCACATATTTTAGCACCTAAGTAGAACAGTGAACAGTTTTTACAGCGGTTTTCATTGTTTTTTTATTTTTTTTTTAAAGTAAACAGTAAACAACATTTCTACCAATAATTATGTTCCGATTTACAATGATAGCACTTATTCTAAAAGGAAATCTGACCTGGGAGGTACTTTAAGGACATAATTTACTTATTTCTCCGATAAATGGGAATAAACGTATGAAAAACGGGAAAATAAGTGCAATATCAAACAAATATTTTTAAAGAAAACGTCTAATGCGGATGTTATTATTTCACCGTAGTATTATGACGCATATATCGTTGACAAAAGAACAGTATCGACCGAACTCCGCTCAGAATCGTTTTTCCGTTGGCTATAGTAGTTGTTCGTAGGGCACGGGCATACATCGAATTCCCGTCTATATCCTATACTTTCCCGACTTCCCGTCCACAATGGCGGCTGCACCCGTCCCCATTGTCATAGTACGGAATTTTTTTCGTATTTTTCGCTCATTCATATTTTTATGGGTAATTGCGATATAATGTGCGAAAATATTTCAATATTCGTAATGTAATTTTCATAAAATATAATTAATACAACTGTGCGTGTACATTCGTGACCATAATATAATATCAGAATAAACACTCGTTTACCGCGTAGATTGCTCGCTAATTATTACGGATATTGTTCGGGTTTTTTTTTTTCCAACGTTTCGTAAAAAAAAAAAAACTCGAGCGTAATATCTTCCGCGGAGAACGTTCTCACGCTCGAAAACGTCCGGAGCGCATTACACAGTCTTTCGGAGAATATATTCCCGGCGCGTTATTATATTCTCGTCGATGCACCGCGCGGGGGAATGTTCTCTCGGTCCCGCGACCTGCACACGGCCGCCGCGCGTGTACTCCGATTCAGTACCCCCCCGCGGAACCGTTCTCGCCGCGGCCGACAGGGCCGACAGGGGCGACGGGGCGCGGGGCGCGAGGAGCGTAACAGACTAATTTCGATGCGCCGCGATCGCCCGCAAAACGCCGAAACGCACTATTTAAAATCGTTCGCCCGGGGCAAAATAACAGTAGCGCAATAATAACGACAACAGCAACAATAATATATTGTATCGGATTTGGGGAGAACAACGATCGCGGGGCCGGATGGAAACGTATTATTACAATATATTATGCGGAATACCGCTGCGGCGGCGGCGAGGGGCCCCGCCGCCCGTCCCGGTTTCCCCGCGAGCCGCGCCGCCCGTACCCGGCCGCCCGACGAACCGAACAAATTCGCCGCGTTGCCGCCGCCGCCGCCGTATACTAACGCGTGTTACCGCGGCGACGTCGCCGTCGTCGTCAACGGCGGCGGTACGCCTAATGAGATTTCGCGCGTCGTCTCCGGAACCGTGTCCGCACGAAATACACGTACGTCACATTGTTATCATAACGCCCGAGGACGGGCCGCCGCGGTTTTTCAATGTTCCCCGTACGTTTTACGATCGTTAATTTGCGCGTCCGCGGCCGCGATTATAACGCGTTGATATTTCGCAGACGCCGTTTATGGTTTCGCTGTTCGGCGTGTGCGTTCCCAAAGCGAACGGTCCGCGGGTATTACGGGCGTACGGAAACGACGAACGGGAACGGTTTCGTTTTTAGAAAAAACGCACGGTCCCGACGCCGAAACGCGTACGGGTTTTTTCCGCGGCGGAACCGCGGATCTCCATTGTCCCGTTAACCGCTCGTCTTGGCGTGTTTGTCCGTTTCGAACATGCCGGCGATCGTTATTGATTCGCGAGTTTAAATTAGTGGCGCCACGGCATAACCCCGCAGAACTTTCATCGGACCGTGTTCTGAGATCGGCTACAGTCACGGTGTACTTCTTCTCCCGGGCGATCTTTCTCCGTCCAATTTTCCCTTGTAACGTACGCGGGATAATGGATCGTTTCTGCGCTCGTCCCGCATGATACCGTCCCAAATACTCCGAGTTTCTAATTACATTTAACTGTCGCGACCGGTTCTCTATCTTTTTCCGTCCTACGCGATACCACAATATTGGTAATTTTCTCGATCCGTAACGTTCTCAAAATCCTTCTATACGACCGTAGTTCCAATGCTTCCGACCTATTCGAAATCGTTTCGAATAGGAACGGTTGAGAACCCGTAACGTCTCGGGGGTCGTGTTTTCCTGTGGAAGAAACGGTTGTGGCCCTCGAACGTTACACCCGTTGAATCAAATACACTTTTCCGGCGCGACGTTTTATTTCTTCCGAATTGTCCCATTGTTGCGCTATTTCCATTCTGTTTACGATCGTCGCAGAATCGAAACAATCTACGAATCTCGAATACCGAATTTCGGCCGGTCCGTTAATAACCGGACAATAAAAAAAAAAAAGAGCCGTCGATAAAATTCGGCGTCCGATTTATTTGTACGCCGATACTGCCGGGCAGGGCGGCGTACGTGCACGAGTTATGTGCCTGGCTGTAGAATGTTATTATCCGACTACAGAGACCGCGAGGCTTATCAAATATGTAAGTGCAGCTCATTCGGACCGGGCTGAACGTCTCGAGGACGTTACGTCCGAGCGGATAAAAACGAGAGAAAAATAAATTACCAACGGTTTCGGGGGGTGTGTGCTCGGGCTAAATGCGTTGTTGTGCGCCGTTGCTCGTAAACGTTCGCCGAGCCACTGCGGCGCACGTCGTGCGCCTATCTCGCAGTCCGCGCGCGACCAGATTTTCCGGGTCGGGTTACACGCACGGTAACAACAACGATAACGATACGTATGCTTTTCACTTAATCGGGCGGCGGCGGCGGCGGCAGCTGCGGCGGTGGCTGCACAGTCCCGCAGGCGTCGTTTGCCGAATCGCCGGGGACGCGACGCCCCCGGAAAAATAATAATTAATATTTCCATTACGGAATTATCGTATTATCGTTTAGACAATTTAAAAGTCGTTAAAACCGGGAGGGTTGAAAAAAAAAAAAAAACGCCGACTACGCGCATTATGTTCGCGGCGGTTTATGCGTACCGACCGCGGGGGATATTATACACGGCGGCGGCGGTGACGACGAGAGTACCCGTCTGATATATTGTTATTGTCACGCGATAAGGAAACGGTTAAAAATGACGAAAAAAAAAAAAAAATGAATCGGAACCGGCAAGTGGCAATAACCGCCGGGACGGTTATGTAGGGGAGGGAAGGGGAGAAGGGCAATAACAATAACAACAAACGCGTCGTCGCGCGTGTACCCGTGCGATTTTAATCGCGTTTAAACCGAAACGGGATACCGGTGTCGCGGAGTTTCGGGATAGTCGGCCGGCCCGAAACCGACCCCGTGGTTTTTTTTTTTTTTTTTTTTTTTTAACATAAGCGAAACCGACGCGTCGACACCCGCAATCAAATGTCCGCGGTCGAAATCGGTTAAAACCGCGAGTATGTATCGTATAATAATAACAACGTATCCTTTTTTTTTTTATCCCCCCGAAATGCACCGAAATCGCGTAACGGTCGCGCCCGAAAACCGCACACGCATACGGTTAGGTCTCCGTCTCAACAGGGTCGGTAGACAAAAAACCGCACACTCCATTGTTCGACGGGCGGGTAGGACAGCCGATTCGGTGCACTCTAGTTGCGTAGTAGTTTGCGTAAACGGCGTACACGAATCGCGTCCCACCGGTCGGGCGGTAGAGTTTTATTTCGTTTTAAGAGGTTCTCCGCGATGCGTTCGTTACAAGGGAGTCCGACGTTGTTTTTCGGCGTATTACACATCGCGTGTCTAATGTTATAAATCACGATAACGGATGAATTCTGTTACCGATGCCTGGTTAATAAGCAACGATAAGCAAGTTCGTATCGTTATTATTACTGATATATATTTATTTTTTTACCAGCATTTCGATCGATACCGTTATTGTTATTATTAATAATATTTATTAAATTTACGATATTACGGACAATATTAATTTTGATTAGACTTAAGTGATTTGACATTTATTTATTTATTTTTTTTTTTTTTTTTATTACATTTGATAGACCGATTTTTGATTGACTCGTGTTTACATTTATAATCGTTAGGTATTTATTTATTTATTATTTATTTTGATTTAAGTTCCCCCGATTAAAATACACGATTTGCGTCCCAATAATTATGTAAACATTTTTAAACCGATATTTTTAATTCTTTAAAAAACGTCAGTTTTTTGATTAAAATCTCGATCATTATTTTTTTCATTTGACTTTATATTGATTATATTTCATAATAAGTATTTAACAACACTAATTAAGATGCAATTACAATACTTGATATTTTATTTTATATATTTTTAGATTAATTATTAATAAATAATCGATTATACAACATTATTGTGAAATGTGCGATTTTCGGATATAAAAATTAAAAAAGTATGCGGTTTCAACCTGCCGAAAACGTGCGGTTCGGTCCTGTGTTTTATCGCGAGTGTGCGGTTTTCGGATTCGTCGGTTTGTAACAACGGCCGCGGCACCAATATCCACGCCGGCTACGAATAGCCGCCGAGTGGCGGTGCCGAGAAAACGTACCGTTGTTTTTTTTTTTATCGTTTGCGGCGGAAACGCGTTCGCGTCACGGCGGCAGCGTGACGCTAAAAAATTATCGGCCCCCGGCGTGGTGACGAATTGTTCGCCGGCCGTTTTATTGTCGAATATGTTTTACCGATCGACCCGCCGCCGCGCAGTCACCGCTGTACCGAGGCCCGAGGACCGCGTATATTCGCCGTGACGGCGGCTACTACGGCGGTGGCTGTGGCGGCAGCAGCAGCAGCACCAGCGGCCGCAGCAGCGACAACAACAAGTGCCGTGTAATTCAATTGCGCGCGGTGGTGACGAGTGAATCGCTCATGTGGTACACGGTGACGGCGGCGGCGGTGGCGGCGGCGGCGCGCCGCTGCTGGACGGGAGCGAGACGGTGTGAGAGACGTGTAAAACACATACACTGTGAGCCCTCACATACATACATATATATATATATATATATACATATAGTGCCGTCCACCGATGCTGCTGCTACCGCCGCCGCCGCCTCTGCCGCTGCCGCCGCCGCCGCCGCCGCCGCCGCCGCCGCCGTCGAGGGACCGACCACCTCTGTTATTGATTTCCCGGCCGGCGACGGAGGTTCGCGCGCGCTGTACGGCTATATCGGCTTGTCTCTCTCGCCGCCGACGCCGATGGTATTGCCGCTGCCGGCGGTGCCGTTGTTGAATCGGCGCCCTATACCGCCGTTCCCTCCAACGATCGGCCGCCGCCGCTGCCCGCGACGACGACGGCGACGACGACTGCAGCCGTCCGTCCGAATAACTCCGCGTGTCACTCGATCGGTCACCACCGCCGCCGCCGCGAAAAACGTTCTCGCTCACGTCAAATTTCCCGTTTGTCCGCGCCCCCGGGGGGGATTTTTAACCGATTTTGAATTATGCGCGTAAGGGATGACGAACACGAATCCGATCACGTCCCGCCGCGACGCCGCTAATTTACCAATCTCCGCCTGTTCCGATTTCCGTCGATTCGTATCGATAGTGTGCATGTTTTTTTTTTTTTTTTCAAAAACTTTTGATAAACACAATCTTCGATCGCGGCGCCATGCAAATAATCCAAACGTATTATCATTCGATAAATGCCCATCCGAACGGCGCGCGGCTGCATAAAACACAAATCGAAATACCGCACTCCTTGTATTGTGTACGCGCATGAATAATATATAATAATACGTCCGAACGTGTTAACGTCACGGAAAAACCGATCGGCTTGCACAATGCGAATTTCTTATCACGGGCCCGCGAAAGTTTTTACTACATTTGATTTCGGGGTTGTTTTTTTTTTTTTATTTTTTCAATCGCTGTACTACTATAGAAACGTTTCGCGATATCATTTACAATAACGCAAACGAAATTATACCCGTGTACCGTATATTATTACAAACACGTCCTATCGCGACGTTCGATTTCCTGCAAATAGCATACATCACGTTTTCGTGAATTGGCGTTCGACAAGATACGTAAATGTTCTCGAAAAATATAATACTTTATGCATTTTCTATTAAATCTTCATGGATGATCGCTAGTTCTTTATAGGTGAAAAAAAAATCATCCTTCGTATTGGCCGATTAGATTGTCAATATCACGAATATTATCGCCAAACTAAAGTCTTTGGATACAAAACAATAAGTAGTCAAAAAATGAAATTTAAGTTACAAGTTACTTTTTTTGATAATTATTAAATTGACTAGTTAAGAAAAATAATTGACATATAACATTAAAATTAAAATCATTTAATCGTTTTTTTGTGTACCTTTGGTTTTTTGGGGTTTTTTTAAATTTATTTTTCAATAAAAATTACGTCTTTTTACGTGTATATTATTGTCACATAACAAGACAGGCATATGGCCTTTGCAGGATTATGAGACGCCCGTACGAATCACGTACAGTAAGTCTATAAGAATCTAGTAACTAATATAAATATTAGAGTACAAAATACGTTTGTAAATGTATAGTAAAAGGTAATTTTAAATAGTAACTTTTAACTTAACAGAGTTATAATTTTCATAGAAATGTGTAACATAACTTAGTTTATCAAACTCATTTAAATTTCAAAATATTTTTCCTAATATAACTCAACTTGAACTAGTTAAAACATTTGATTAACTTGTCCAACTTTGATAGTATCGTATACCTACTTACCTTTAAAAATTCTGAAGCGCCAACAACATCAGACACGAACGAAATAGTTCAATATCGTATCGCATCGCTTAATATCTCTATTCTACAGAATTATCATGGTTTATACACTACCAGAGTGTTCGGTATCGAAATATGTTTGAATATAATATTATTCCGGAATAGTTGTAACTGAACATCTCAATTAAGTGCACGACCACCGAAACACGTGTTAAATTACCTGAAACGTAGGTTTAAAGTGTGATGTGTGTTGTGTGATACGCAAGTGTAAAAGAAATATAATAAAAGGTTAGATTTATATTGTAATAAATTATATTATGCGTATATATTGTATACAGTTAATAATAAGACGCGTTTTGAGATTTTAAAATACATTTGGTAGGTAAGAAATATATAAAAAAAAAAAAAATTGTCATACTTCACACGTAGGTGCAGCCACTGTTGTAGGTGGGAGGTTGGGAATGTAGGCTACATACGGTAATTTAATGTACATCTGTAAGCATTGATAAACCATTGCTAAAGAAAAACGATTCTGAGTGGAGTTCAGTTGATAGTGTTGCTTTGTGAACAAAACAATATGGTATATGGTATATGTCATATTATGGTAAAATGATTACAACAAAATGCGTTTCCATGACAAAAATGATTGTTTAAAAAAGATTAAAATAATAAAAACTTAATAATAACGAAAAATAAATAAAAACGGTTGCCAATGACAAGCTTATTTTTAATATTTCAAAATGTTTTCCTCATTATCTCAAATATTAATGAGATTTTTAAAAAATTACCCCTTTAAAGCACCACCCAGAGAACATTTCCTTTCAGAAAAGGTACTATACTTGAAAATCGGAGTATGCTTTCTAGTGGAAAAAGTGTTCGCACAAAAAAAAACAAATAAATAAACATCATTTTAAAACCAATACAATCCTCGTTCCACTCAGAATCTAAATATATATATATAGTATAAAAATCCTGAATAGTAGATATATATACATTCAAAACGCGCGGAGATATCGCCAGCTCCGAAAACAAAATAAATATAGAGAATATAACCGTTTAAAGTGCTTCTAAGGGTTGTAGATTGCCAAAGAAACCTAAAGGCTAAACGTATCTACATTAACTAACTGTATAGCTGTATAGATCGGCAGAAAAGTTAATTCGCATGACGTACAGAATTTAAGAGACGGACGGAACACCGTGCCAAATATAGATACGAGTCGGAAGGAAATGATGATGACGACTACGGCAACGTAAACCGACCGCGAAAATATAAACACCGAGGTACAGAAAACTACTATATATCGGAAGTTTTGATTAAAGTTTAATTGGCCTGTTTTAGGTCTCGGTATTAATTTACAAAGAAATTAATGATGAATTAGTTAATTATAATTATTAATTGAATTGCGTGATGGTTACAATATTGCAAAAGTCTATTATAAGTATGAAAACTATTCCCCAAAAGGGAATCGCGCTAACTACCCACGTATACAAGTCAACGCTTATAACTGTGTAAAAACTGACATTTTTATTATTTAATACACGGACGAAATTTTATAAGAAGTTTTTCTTTAATTAATTTTATTATTAATTACGTGTTGTACATTTTAAATTTCGGTTCTAAAAATAAAACATAAAACTATGTACTTCAGAATATTTTACCATACAGATACTCGAACGACACAAGTATTCTATAAGGACTTGTCTATAATAATGCATTTTAATTTTTTTTTCAATTTTCAAGCGTACGCATACTTCGCACCAAATGAGTCCCTTTTTTTTAAAAAAAAAAAATAATATTATTTTACTGAAATCTACGATAAATCAAAACATTTGACAATTTTATAGCATGTTTTTATTTCTTCCTCTTTAGTTTCGTACAACGAATTAAATGATGCACATAATTCCCTTTTTTTTTTCCACAATTATATGTAATAATATTTAAAAATATTAGAAATAAAAATAAAAGTTTCAAAGCATAAAATCTATTATTTTGTAAAAGTTTATTCTTCTAGTATACATCGGAATCTACTAAAACTCTAATAAACTATTATTATATTGTTCATAAATCATAATATACATATTAAATATGTATACACAAAATTATAGTATTTTCCTTGAGTTCACAAAATATCGAAACAATCTGAACTATTATTTAGGCTTTTGGGTAACAAATGACATTTTTAAACAACAATAATTTAAATTGAGAACATTTCAAAACAATGTATGGATATAAATATGTGAACCTATCATCGATGAAACGATGCAGAACCAACGTAGGAGATACAATAAAAAATTGTACGATATGAAAAACTTGCACCAGTAACAAGCTTTTTTGATGTCCAACGGATGCAATGGCTATCTAAATGAGAATGATTCAACTAGAATAGCATTGAAATAAGATTCACATGGAAGAAGATCTAGAGGAAGATAAATTGGAGGTTGGATGTAATAGAAGAAAATCTAAGAGCCCTAGAAGTTGAAGACTGGAGAAAGGTGACATGCCAGAAGAAGATGAATTAAGACGTTTTCCGAATTTATAAGGTTAAACCGTAATAAAAATATGTATACTTATTCGGAAAACTTTTTTTCAAACAAAAATATTTTAAAATTCGTTAGAAATTTAAATTTATTAATACAGATAATCGACTATGACTTTAATAATTTAACGATAATTTATTAATCTCGTTTAAATAGTTATAATAATATGTTTAACGTGTTCTCGCGAATACGTGTGCGCAAAATGTTTTGTAAAATATTCAATATTATGTCGAACGAATTCTTTAATAATTAATTTAGTGCGGTGTTATAAGTTTATGACGGTTAAAAGTTTGGTAGTAATATCACATACTTAATATATGTGACGGGAGATTATTCGACTCTCGCCCACGCGCGGCAACGTTTAAAAGATCGCTGTGCACACCTAATGTTATATATTATGTACTAAAGTGTATTCCATGGAGGATTTCCTTCAAACGCAGCAGCTGAAAAGGTGAAGAGCATATTATTATTACTCCTCCGCGCGGCTATATATTATTATATTACACATACCTACTTACTTACTGACTTCCAAAACGTCCTAAATCAATATAACATTATACGTTATCTAATAAACTAGGTAGGTATTTGTTCTAACATATTGAATACATATATCGCGTGGGTTTTTTTTGTTTTGTTCACTTTAAGTTGTATTCGTTTAAAGAAAAAAAAAAAAAAAAAACGTAAAACATAATAGTCTCTGTAGACTACAAACTAGGTTGGTAAAAAAATAAAAATGGAATTTTAACATCTTTATGAACGCAAAAGTTATTATATTAGTGAAAATATATTTATTTTTTTTAAATAAATTCTCGTGGGATTCATCCTACCCCTACGTTATATAAATTATAAAGTGAAAAATATACCCGCTCAATTAAAATTATATTACTCCAAATACTTTTATAACTTTCCCGTTTTCAAATAATGAAAATGCCCATAACTTTTTAATATTAATATCGCAATTTATAACAATCCGGACATAATATACTTCACCTTTTGCAGAATGAAAATTATGACACTTTCATGACAAAATTAAATTTCAAGAATTTCATCGATTATATTGTTTTAAAAAAATATAGTAATCTTAAACATTTGAACAGGATATTTATTTACAGTGCCTAGATATAGGCTATTTTTTAGAATCTTCTGTCAATTTTGGGTTCCATAAAATAATCTGAATTTTTAAACAATTTAAACCGCTGTAAATAAATCTAAAAACCGTTGATAACAAGACATTTTTTTATTTTTTTAGATTCCTCTATTTTCTAATACATAGATATAAATTTATTAAATAATAATAATCGTAAATAGAACATACAATTGGCTTTCACGTCACAAGAAAATAATTAAATAGATTATCAACTTTCCAACGAGCGAATTGTTTAATATAATATTTAGAACGGAATTAAACCCGAAACAAGGGTTAAGCAACTGTCGAAATCTATAATTCACTTGATTTATGATAGTTATTTCGTCCAATAAAAATTAAATTCATCAAATTTGTATAATTTTTGAATTAATAAAATAAAATATGTAGGTACTTATATTGGGCGTTAATTTACTACCTACATAATATTCTTTAGGGATCAAAATAGCGGGGAATTCCGGGTTTTTATCAGGGTAAATTTAAAACTTAGATAATTTAAAAATTGTTGTTTTCTAAGAAAATAAAAATATTTTCAAAATAGTTAAAGTTTAAAAAAAATAATAACAAAACAAATTTTCCAGAATTTTTTCAAAAAAACCTGTTTAAACGCACGTTAATATAACAAAAATAAACATTTTAAATACATAAAACAGACTCAAATATAGTATTACGCACAAACAACAATGTTAATAAGAATATAATGCAATATTACTATGCAAAAAATAAAAAAAACACGTAAGAAAACGACGACGTACCTATAACAATAACATGTAGAAACCGAGATAATAATAAACTCCATTGTATGTGAAAATATGTAATTTGTGTTTAAATAACATTATACTATAAGGAAACGGAATGAAAACTATTATGGATATTATTATCATGTTGAATAATGAAACCGCGTTTTTTCGACCCCAAAATTGTATATACAAAAATTATCAACATGTAAGTAAATAATAATGATTCATAATAATAAGTTTTATCAACCACTATCATAATAATACTATTCTATACTAATATTATAATAATACTATACATACAGTGTGTTCGTGTTTTCTGAAAGCATTAAATATTTATTGTTTAAACCTTTACAATGCGTGCGTGCCACAATCTAACCTTACCTACAAATCATTTTGTTTGAATAGCAATCTCTATTTATGATGCTGGATCCAAATGGTCCGATTTTTTTCAAACATCTAATCATTACATTTATTTTTAATCGCAACAATCTTTTGAGATACAGCCATCCGATAAAGTTGGGCAAAAAATAAAATTAAAATGTATCGTTATTAATTGTTATGTACGTGGCATTTTACGGTTATCTATACAAACTTTTTTCCCATAAAACAGAAGTCAAATTTCATCAAATTTAAAATCAAAAACTTTAAAATTTTTGAAAAATTATACTTTTTAACCAAATTTAAATGGATGTATCTTCGGTAATTTTTGAGATAAAAAAAAATTACAAATTCTGTAAAAAATAGATTAATTTGAATTTTAATATCGAAAATAGATTCAAAAAAAACTGTTCAGAGGCTATTAAAAAAAAAAAGGAATTTGTATTACGTATACACTTAAAAACTCGGATACTATAAATAAGTATGACTAAGCATAAAAGCCTACGATAAAATATTTCAGAATACGACATTATTTAAGGAATGCCATATTAATTTAATAAAATATTACGACCGTTTTCAATGATTGTAAAAAAGGCCATTTTCCAGTCTTGAATATCCATCGTCTAAATCAAGTTTAATTTGAAAATCAATATGTTATTCCTGTATTATGTTTGATTTTACATAACGAGTTCAAGTTCTAATATTAGTTTTTAGGTTTTTCTGATTTACGTGAATATGATTTCGAACGATTTTCCTCTTGATTTTTACGATTTCTTTTAAATTGTAACTTATAACACTTATTAAAAAAAAACTTCTACATTACGATTAACTACCAACAAGATCCAGGGCCGTTTAGAGGGGATCAACGGGACCGTTTCATATCAGAACCTATTTTTGAAATAATTTTAGGGGCCTCTCTAAAAGTCTTGATGTATAAGATAATAATACATGTGCTAGGATTTAGAATTACTCGATGTTACCCATAAAAATAAATAAAACTAAACTATAAAACTATAAAACCAAATTGCAAAAATTAAAAAATATTATCGATATTCCTACTAAAAACAATCATTAACAACCTAATCTAACTGAATAATACTAATTCTACCGTACACCACATTCGCATGACCGAAAAATCCAACAATCCGTTGGAAAGATAATCCCTATATAAGATTATATAATAAAACGATAATCCCGATATTCTCGTTTTACACGGGCAATATAATCGTCGCCGAAAACCCAAAGTCCTAGACTAACACCGACCGCCGATCGTTCGTCGGGTTTGAAAAGCGAACCTCGGACGGGGGTGGTATATAGTTATCGTATAATATTATATGGAGTGGTGTTACGTGATGACGGTGTTTATGAACGGAAGTGGTGGAAGGGATGGGCGCGGTATTATGGCGGGACAGGAACGGCCGGGACAAAATCGCGGTAGTTTTCAAGAGACGAGTCGCGGCGGGGTCACGATGAGAACGGGGGTGGGGGAGGAGTAACGTAGCAGGAGAGGTGCGGCGTAGAGGACCGTTCACTCAAAATTAGTTCCGTTCGGTCCCTTTAGCAAACAACATAGAGACCTTTACCGATATATACGCGGTATAATATAAAGATAGAACGAGAGAGAGAGAGAGAGAGAGAGAGACAGCGAGAGTGAGAGAGAGAGCGTGTGAGAAAGTGAGAGAGAGAAAGAGAGGGCGCGTCACTAACCGAGAAATAGAGCCCTCTATTCGACTAAAAACCATCATCTCGCCTCGGATAGTGTATACGCGCGCGGGCGTGTGTGTATATATTTACGTACGTATACATGTATATATACAGTACGAATTTCGCTTGTGAAATACGACCAAAGCACATATACACACACCAACCCTTGCACACCCTATATGTATATATATTCGTGGAACGTATACATACACCCACACACACACACATACGGTCACACGCACGTAAATGTAAACACATACACACTATATTATATGTATATATATATAGCGCTACTCTATGTGCATACATATGTGTGCGTGCGTGTGCGTGTGAGTGTGTGTGTGTGTGTGTGTGTGTGTGTGTGTGTGTGTGTGTGTGTGTGTTTGACTTGTAAACCTCATCCCGGACGATGACGTCTATGTCGACGCGCCCGTTTGAGGATCAATACCGCCGCCGATACGTGCGATGAGCTCGTTTTAAGCGGCCGTTCCAATCCATATTCGCGCGTATAATAATATGATAATAAAAATCATAATAATTAGGGCTCGGACTTAATCGCGTGAAAGAGTGACTAAAACTGATTGCGTTCTGTCTTTGATCCCTGGGATTGCATGTCATTTACATAGAGATAAAAACGGAGAAAAGTAAGGGAAAAAATTGCCGAATATTGACTTTGTTCCCCATTTTCTCTGGGGCCATAGATAAATATTCCTCTGAAAATACCTTACGTAATTCAATCTAAGATGTGTAGAAAAAAAAATGTTCAAAATCTGAGTATGGTATTCAGATAGACAACTGTGTTTGATAAAACAAAAAAAATAAATAAAAATTCAACTAAATTTCGATGTTGCGTGGAACCAAGAGCACTTTGTTTCTTTTATTTTCAAAATACATACCTAAGTAATCTTCTGTTCTCTTACTAAAAAAAATATCGAAAAATTGCTTTAAAGTTATTTAGCGTTATTAATAAAATCAATTAAAAATTAATTAATTATAAAAAATCTATTATAATATGTTACATAATACCGTCCCTGTGTAATAAATTCCGTTTCCTAACAACGAGAAAAAAAAAATAATAGTTTCTGAATCAATAAACGTCGATCCTCGACAGTGTATTACGCGATCATTCGAAACACGAATGTTCACGAAGCGTGTGTATTCCGGATTAATATATTACGCAATATCATGGAGAGGACGCGGTATAGTTTTTACAACGAAATCGCGTATGTCTGCTCTAATAATACGTGCGTGCGGAAAAAAACAAAAAATAAAAAAAAAAAATGTTGTAACACGTTATTTCTGACCGAGCTACAGCAGCCGATGACTATGACGAAAAATACATTCCGCCCTCCCTCCTTCTCGCCCCCCCCTCTCATTCGCCCGGTGCGTGCCGACACCGGTTCTTAATCCGAAACACCGGTATGTATGTGTGTGATTTGTGCGCGTACGTATACATACGTGTATTATTATTATTTTTTTTCCACTCTTTCGTCTCTCGCATTATAAAACACACATATATATATGTGTGTGTGTGTGTGTGTGTGTGTGTATAAATATAATAACCCTTCAAATCATTACGTATGCAAACGCGTATGTAATCTCGGCAGGGTTGGCCGGACACATTCGTTATGAATTATCCGCAGAGACCTTTAATCCGGATGCGCGCAGGCATCGCCGCCGTCGTTTTACATTGAAAGCGCAATGGTTTCGATCTACTGCGTATATATATATATATATGTTTATACACACACACACACACACACACACACACTACACCTACCCTTTGCCCCGCCGACAGCCTCTGATGAACAATAGCTTTTGTTTTGTGTGAACGCCACCAAGCTCCCCTCCCCCCCCCCCACTTCCCCCTTCATCGTTCCACCGCGCCGCCGTTCCGTGGAGCACTATACGTATATTATTATTATTATTATTATTATTATTATTATTATTATTATTATTATTATATGATAAGAAGTATACAGTACAGCGTATACACCTACTACACGCTATACATACGACCCCGCTGCAACGAAGACTGCAGCATCCGACATGGGCGAATTATATAAATTTATATGCCTACTTTTTTCTTTTTTTTTTTTTTTTACAGTTTTTTTCCTCCCGCGTCTCCTACTCGGAGAAATGTCCATCGATTTAAATAATTCGAACAATGGATCGTGCGCGTACAACACACACTCCGTACGTTTATATTGTTATTACGTAACATAAAAATGTATATTAACAGTTTAATCGATTATATGCCAGTGTTATGATACTGAGAATTTGTACTGACACATTACGATTCGCTTTTATTATTTCTTCAATCCCGAGGAAGAAATCAATTTTCTTTAATTTTTTTTTTTTTTTATAATTATATGACTCAAGGCATTTACAACGGTTATTTAACAATTTTAGCAGTTCTGCCGTTGTGCCGTTTACCAATTTTCAACATTTAATTTATTTTGTTTATTTTATTTTTAAAATTGACTTATGCCTTTTTTCCTCGAGACCAACGATTTAGATTCACGGTATTTTCTCGCGCGTTCTATTGCGTTATTGCAGTTATTATTTTTATTTTTTTGTTTTGTTATGTTTTTGGTTATATTAACATTTAAAAACGTACCTACGTGCAAAAATAATGGTATTTTTACAATAAAAAAAATATATATGTATAGCTACGTCATTTATAACCGTAAAATAACATTAAAAAAAGTATCGTAAATAAAAAAAATGTAGGTATAGGTAAGGTGTTGTCAAACATAATATACAAATTGTTTTTAGGTACGCCATATTGACAAAAAAAAAAAAGAAAAAAAAACTGTACAATTGGTATCCCGAGTATGTTTTATTTAGTCGGACGTTTTGACCGTAATGGTTCGACGGTCATCTTCGCGTGGTCGTGTTCACTACGACGCCAGACGAATCAGTCAAAGTAGTCAAAATGTCAGACTGGATATATATTTACGAGTCATGTGCCGTGAGCCGTCCAATAATAAATCAAATATTCCTCGAGAAAACTCAAAAACAATAACACTTTGATAAAACAATATTCCGTATTTCGTTTTAAACATTAAGATATTTTGATTTCGAATCGACGAAAACATACAGATTTATGTATAGGTAAAAAAAAAAAAAAATGTATGGTTTTACTCGATGTATTTCATTTATAAATTTATGGAAATCCTAGGTTTTATTTTATTTTTTTTTATTTTTTTTTTTTTTTTTTTTTTTTTTTTTTTTTTTGTAAAATTCTTCAAAGAATATGAAGGTTTTCAACAACAGCATACACAAACGACTGGGTAAAGTACCGCAACGATTGAAAAAAGTGTATAAAATTCAATAAAGCGTCCTCTTTAGAACTGCAGTAGCAGCAGTAGTAGCGGTACACGAGAATGGAGGTAAAATATCGTTTTAACATAATTTTATTATGGTAATAAAAAACTGTTGGTTTTTGTATACAACTATGTTATCGCAATTTCTGAATAAAAATACCGGACAAATACATTTTAAAGAGTTTATGGCCTTACGCTCGCGCACGTTATAATACGAAATAAAATAAAATAATATAATATAGCACTTAGGTTCTGCAAAAAAATTCATTAAATTTTACTCGTGGCAAAAAAAATTAAAAAAAAAAAAAAAAAAACTTAAATATTTATAAGAACGACCCGTAGTTGGTGCGTACGCATATATTTTTTCTTTTTCGAATCTCCCCGTGAATATTAATTATTAACAATTTGTTGATACATTATTTAAAAAAAAATAATAATAAAATCTACATTCTATACTAGCAGCCATATATGTATACATGTATAACAAAATAATATTATAAGAAAAAAATACGAACATACTTCGCACGTGGGCGCACCAATGTTTTAGATGAAAAGTTGGGAAGGTAGTAGAGTCGAAATCTAATGTATGTCTGTACGCAACGATTAACCATTGCTAACGAAAATACAATTCTGAGAGGAGTTCGATTGATAGTATTACTTTGTCAACAACATACATGTCATATAACGGGAAAATAATCACGTCATATGCATTATATAATTTCTTCAATAATATTTGTTCGATATTGTACCTATTTTCCCATTTTTCCTACGTTTTTTTCCCCGTGTTTTTTACCGGATTTTCCCATTTTATTGGTAAAAGAAATATAAATATTAATTTCGTTAATATTGTACAATATAATACAAATAATAATAATAATAATACTGGTAGACATTATAATATAGATGATTAGAAGTTATACAATTATATTATATTATAGACCTACCGTCATAGAACTTTCATCATTCAATAAACTATCATGTTATAACGGTGAAACAAAGACGATAATATTATGGCACGCATATAATATTATTTTAAAAGAAATTATTGATTTCATATCAAAAAAAATCGGGCATTATGGGCACCCTGTATATATATTTCCGATCCATAATAGATTTAAATCGTCCAAAAAGGTTTATGCGTGCGAAACTAATATATTGCAATGCGAAGATGACTTTCTGTCAATTATAATATAATCATTATATTATTATGCATTTGTGTATGTATTTATTAAGAAGAAAATACATTTTTCATTTTCCGCGCCGACTATTGTCTCCGCGCGGATATACGTATATAGCGGCAACGTGAGTGGACTGCTATTAATATTGTCTTTCAACTGTCAGTGTAGTAGGCCGCGGTACGAGTCTCTGTAGATAAAATGATTCCGTTTGTTGTACGTAGGATAAAAGAGATGAAGGACGCCGGTGACGAGCGGTTGGAGAGGGACAAATCAATATCATCACTGTGTACGCGAACCCGGGTATTGTATAACAATAATTTTTCGAGATTAGACCGAAAAATATGTGTCTCGAAGGCTCTCGGCCACAATAAATGTATATAATTAGATAGATATTATATTGACGAATGTTTTTCAGGGGAAAGGTGGAGCGGGGAGAGAGTGGGTGAAGGCGCGGGAAAAAATTGCTCTACTTTCATTTTTCACGGACGATTGACCATCAATCAATTCCCGTGGCTCGGTTATCAATCAACGTTGGGTCAGCCACTACTACCCACCCTGTATATCCGCCATCGTCCGGCCTACCGGGAATTTCGATTTAATTTATTTCGGACGGGTGTCCGATATAAACGAGCCAGCTTGCAAGTTCTACGCCGCCGTACGCGTGAGTAGAAGGGGTAGCGGCGGGTAGTTCTCGGGCATAATTAGGAAAATGGAAGTTCCTGCAAATATACACTAACTGAAATCAAGTACTTTTGAAAAATTGACTTTTATTCGATTGGTCAGCAGAGACCATCGATGAGCAATACAGCTAAACTGTTTTTAATGGCTCACCGCCGCCGGCTTGGCACGGTCCGTACACGTGACAGTTTGACGCGTTCGAAGATTACAAAGTGATAAACTCTCGCTTGGATTTTAATATTATCATCGGGCACGCAAACTTGTTCGAGAAATTATATTATAATAATAAATCCGGCAACATTGAATTGAGACAAGAATACACAAACAAATGTTTATGGGTTGAGTTCGGCCTATAAGCGCTGTAAAGAGACACTTCCCCAATAAATGTATGAATTCCTGCGATTGATTATTTCATTTTTAATAATTTTTAGAAAATTTGTCAATTTTTATTGAATTGTGGACTGACGTTTAAATTATACAGATTTTAAAAATCCAACTTTATAAATGTGTTTATAATATTATTTTTACTACAAAATTTGTTTCAATAAAAGCTTTTTCCACTGATATTTATTAATTTATTTTTTGTATTCTTGTTTCCTTATCATTGCTACGTAATTTTATAGGTATATCTTTCTATTTTCCTAATAGTAAAATATCAACAACAATTGACTATTTCTATTGACAAATTCTATGTAATTCACTTTAAGTGAAAACTTTCACGGCTATTATAGTATTGGTCACCAATCAACATACTTAATAAACGTTCAGAAATATCTTATCTCCTGAATCGATTCAAACATTAACATTATATAAAAAGTACACCAACCTGAACGCTTAAAGTTAGTCTGAGAGACTCAGTTCAGTATCGGCCAAGAAATCACGATTCCCACTTTTTCATATTCATATAATAATATATTTGTTTGAAGTTCGTATATAAGTTTCGTTACATTATAAATTATAATTTCGATCAAATTAATTGACTATATTACACGCGAATAATCCGCTTAGAGCCATACTGTTATAATGATATCGTATGTCCTAGAAACACATTTATTATGTATACGGTCTAAAACACAATAATAATTTAAGTAAAACATTTTACCGCAACTTGCTGCATTATTGATCATTACGGTTGACCGCATGCAGCCAGATGGCACATACAGTACAATAATGCTCGTTCTACTTGTTTATAAGATATTATATGATATAACTATCACATATATTTTAGTTTCGTGTTCACCACGACATAATGTTTAAGTAGTACAAAAACTAAAATATAACATCATATCAATGAAACACTGTTACGAGTAAAATATAATTCGGACGTTTTTAATTCCCATCAAGATTCGTATAAAAATACTATTGATTTGATTTCAGAAATATTGCAATACAATGTTTTTTAGATTTTCAAGTATAGCACCTTTTCTAAAAAAAAAAAAAATCGTGGTATTTTTTAGAGGTAATTTTTTTTCTTGTAGTTTTCATAATACAATTGTGTATAACCGGGTTAAAAATCTGTATAAAATAGTTGAGATCCATACATATATGTTATTTAATTTCAATATATACATAACATTTATAAAAAATGTTTAATCTAAATCGAATTATGATGATAATATATACATGGTATACATATTAAATGAAAATAATATGGAAAAGAGTAATACAAACGTAGTGCATATTTTTTTAATATATTTTAAAACAAAAAAATAACTAAAATCGAGTGGATGCGCTTGAAAAATGATTTGCAAAACGAAATACAATAATAATTCGATTACATTTTAACCTTTTAAACTAATTGCAAAAGGATAAGTTTGATCTTTTCAATTACGCGTATTTACAAGTACATGCAAAATTCAACAGTATCCATCATGTGTTTAATAACAACGTGGTAAAAGTTCGAATATAAATTATACATCACAACCATGACAAAAGATTTTTTTGTTATTATTATTATTTTTTTACTATTTGAATTTAAATATATCCTGCACACATCATTTTATATATAACTGAACCGTACATTTTATGTCAGATTAGCCTTATCCGTTCCATATTGTAATAAATATTATTTTATTCCCCGAGACGAATTCTATTTGCAGGTATTATTTTTCATGGTTTATTTTTTGAATTAATTGAAAATATTGTCTATAGTATGTTTACAACATAAAACTATAAAAAAAAAAAAAAAAAAACTGATAAAAGGGGAGAACAATATTAGAAAGCATTAATCTTAAGTCCCACATCTATACTCTATATCTCATAGTGTGTGTGTGTTTATGTATATGAAAAGAAAAAACAACAAAGATAACGGCAAAGTTAAAAAATATATAATATTAATTTAAATTAATTGGCAGTTTTAACAATGTTAGTTCGAAGCAACTAAAGGCGGGAGACATACAGTCTATAAATATTATAGTTTGTCCATAACTTACAGTAAATACCAACAAAAAATAATAATTTCCAAACTCAATATATTACCTATTTATAAATTATTAATCATTTTTTTTTCCGTTGCTTTTTTTTCCTAAACTCATACAAACAGCTCAAAAATGACATAAATGTTTTAAAAAATTTAAAACATCTAAAAAGTCAAATATAAATTTTATGTTCAAATTTCAAGTTTTCACGAATATTTTTTACTTAATTATAACAATAAAACAAAATTAAATATAGTAAAAGATATATTTTTGTAGAATTTCCCATTCATTATTCGTTTTTTTTTTTTTCGGTTTTGCTTAATTATTAAAAAAAACTTTCTTGGCCTCCAAGATTAAAAATGCAACAAAAAAAGTATCTCGTTGTCTTTCTATTGGAGCAAAATTTCTAGTAAAAAATATAAAGCGTACAAATTTTAAACAATAAAATTGTACGCTGTAAATTGGTTCGTCTTTCATTTTTCATCTTTTTCCGGTTTCCTAATTATTATGAAAACTGATCGAAAAATCAAATACAACTTTCTCCGTAAGTATCTAGATCTAAAATTCAACAAAAAAAAGTCTCTTGGTATTTTTTTACGAAAACAATATTTCTGGTAGAATATATAGTTTACAAAAATTAAAAACAATAAAATCGTCGGTAACGCTACGGCGCGGTGGAATGATCCTAGCTACACATAACCCCAAATGGAAGAAGAAGAAAATGAATTTAAAAATAATAATAGTAAGTCAAGGTCTTTTAACAAATGAAGACAATAAAATATAATGGGTACTTAATGAAACACCCGACAATTAAGTCACAATTTTTTTCCTCACAATAAACTCACCGTACAAAAAAAAAAAAAAAAAGTTTAATTTTTTCTACGGCAATAAGGTTCGCGATACCTGAACATAAAACAAAAAACCGGTGAGAAAAACGTCAAGTATAGAAGAGTAACAGTTAGAGGAGTTACTTTCCGTGAGCGAACCTACGTTTAAAAACAATATCACACGGCAACGTGTATAGGCAATATCGCTACACGTACGCGTACAACGTAAAGTTTGAAATAGTTCTCGAAGAAGAGATATTATAATCCGTCGGATTATAATATTAATTATCTTTACTAGAGATAGTATGTTGATAACCCTTGCATTCTGTACAACGTTGTCTTAGTTAAAAGTTTTGCTTGTTGTCAGTTTAATGTTTGTGTTTAAAATATCAATAACGTACACATGCGATTTATTTGTCAAAACGTACTTTAAACAACTCTAAAACCACTAAAATCTCTAATACTCAATAATAAAAGTGTTTTCAACTAAATGACTAATGTAAAATGTTATTATCATTATAAATGTGTAAACCATGTTTTTTTTTAATTTTTTTTTTTTTTTCATCATTTAATTATTATCTATATTCAATTACACGGCTAGAGTTCGCGACTTTCCTTACGTCGTCTACTAAACACTTTCTATTCCATTGCAAAAATATTGTTTGTACGCAGTCGGTTCGTTTACTATCATAATGTAATACGTACTATTATAAATCATTCGGTCTGTACAAATACAGTAAATGCACGCAGTGAAAGTAATATATATATATATACATGTATAATATTGTATCATACACGGTTTATGGAGTATTATTTTCTTTTAATGAACCTACAAATGTCGCGCGACCAATAAAAACTTGTATAGGACCTTTTAGTTTTTTTTTTTTTTTTCAAATGAATTGCCGCCTTTCCCGTTCACAAATTCAGGCCATCAATATACAACGGTATACTATGTAATAATTGCGCTCATAAATGTTTCTACATTTATTTCTATAACATTATTTATTTTATTCATGACGCTGAACAATAAAAAAAAATAATCATTAATATTCTATTTTACTAGAAATGTCATGTAGATTTATTTTTTTTTTTTTTTTTTTTATCATTTATGCACTCTCGTGCACAAAGTTTAAAAAATATGGACATAATTCGCACAATGTGTGGGCCACTGTTGTANACCTACAAATGTCGCGCGACCAATAAAAACTTGTATAGGACCTTTTAGTTTTTTTTTTTTTTTTTTTTTTATCATTTATGCACTCTCGTGCACAAAGTTTAAAAAATATGGACATAATTCGCACAATGTGTGGGCCACTGTTGTAGGTGAGAAGTTTGGAAGGTAAGATATAGAGGGGAATTTAATATACGTATATCTGTATATAACGATTAATCATTGCTAATAGAAATAATTCTGAGTGGCGATTTTAAAACACGATTACATGTTTTAAAAGGCCTTAAAGTTTATAATTTTCGTGAAAATTTAATATTAAAATTCTCATACAAATAACAATACTAAATTAAACTCAACTTTTTCTATTGACCACAAAGCATAATTTATAATGATCCTGTTAATTTTCCAAGCATTTTTGTTTGGTCTAACACTTTTATCCACAGATTACCAATAAAAATTACCTAAAAACCTTGCATAATTAAAACGTCTATAAAAAGCTCAAAAATAAATGAAGTGTTCTAAAAATAGTCTTAAAAGACCAATATAAGTTTTTTGTTTAAATTTTAAGTCTCTATGAATATTTTTAACTAAATTACAATAAAAAAACAAAGTTGAAGATAATCAAATAAAACATTATTTTTATTGATTTTTCCGTTTTTCCTACGTTTAGTCTAATTATTAAGAAAATATGTTAGGAAAATCTAACTAAGGAAAAAAATTTCTTCACAGAAATGGTGCTACATTTGAAAATCGGAGCAAGATTTCTGATTGAAATTTAGTACACAGTATTTAAAAAAAAAGTTATAAAAAATTAACATTGGAAAACAATACATTCCTCACTATGCTTAGAATCTAAAATTACAGATTATTTAAGAGTTTATTTGTGTAATACGGTATAGCAAATCAGAACTATTTTTACGAAATCGTCTATACCTCTTTACGAACTGACCTTGCAATGTTGGGTTTTTAATGTTTTATACATTTCGGTTACACTTTTGAATTTCGAACATTTTAACTTAAAGCCATTTCTAAGATTTATCAGTTTTAAAAGTAATCTCCTTAAAAAAAAAACTAAACAAAAGTCCTTTAGAAAAACGGGGCTAACGAAAGTAGAAGCACCAAGAGATAGAATCTCATTCTCTTTTTCTTTTTTTTTTTTTTTTTATATATATATATTTATATAAATTGGTAAAGTATTTTTAAAAAATGATGGAGAAGGGGAAATAAAAGTAAACACAACCATTAGAGGAAAGAATGTTTTTTTTTTTTATACTAAAGAAAAAAGTTAAAATTAAAAATAATTTTTTTTCCATAAACAATAAAATAATTTATTCGCATTAACAATATATGTTATAAACGTGGAAATTTAACTTTTAATGTTTTTAATTTGTTTCGTGTTTATTTAAATTGATTAGTGAGCTTTCAATAAGCAGTTCAATAGTATTACACAAATATTTTAAGCAGTGACATTATATAAAAAATTATCAATACGCTAAATAAACAAGGTTATGTTAAGTTAATGGAATAAAATATAGTATGCCTAAAAAATGTTTACAAAATAAAATCAAAGGAGATAATACTATTGATAAATCATTACAAAACAAATATGATTCTAAGTGAAAGTCGGTTAACCATTTATTGATAAATTTTAATCAAAAGCTTTTATGCTCCTTTCTTTTTCTTTTACCCATAATATGAGCTTATAACGGATCATAAAATACCACTCTCACTAATATTAAAAAAGAAACACACCGATTATAAATATTGACAAATACCTAATTAGGTAATGAATTACAATAAATAACTAAAAAACTAACGAATATATGTAAGTTAAAGTAAATAAGTTGTCTCAGATACTATTTACGTCTGAAAAATATTAACTTATAAGTATCAAATATACTTAGAAATATCAATTTACAACAATGATTTTCTTACTTGCTGATTCACAATAATATTGATTTTTACGAAAACTGGCAGCGTCGTAGCATAAATAATACAATTATTTTCAAAAGTACTTGGAATTTTCAAAAAATGTCTTAAGACAACAACTATATAGATTCAAAACATGTCATGGATGGTTTAAAGAAAATTAGTGGCTGAGCGATGTCAAAGCGATAGAAGTTGCTAATTTCTGGAGAAATGTCTTGAAAAGAACATTCTAATAACAATAAGTCTGGAGCAATTATTATTCTGGTCGAAATGGAAAATGTTGGCGATGGATAAAGATAACTGGAAGAATGGTTGTGAATCAAATCGATGGTTTCTAAATGCAGAATAATCCTGAGTAACAATAATATACATAGAGTATAACATTAGTATAAGTATTTTATACCTGCATAAAGTATGTGTATAATAAATAAATATAGCTAATAAAGTATTCATATTATCAATGTTGTTGTTGTTGTTTTTTTTTTTTTTTTTTATCTATTATCGTATTTATAATTAATAAGTTATAATATTCGTCTGTCCAAATGAATATATTCTTCTATATTACACGAATTGTTCGAAATTAACAAAAATACTAAAAGCGCTAGTTGCGGTAATGGAAAATATTTTTTTAAATTTGAATTTATATCATAAAATGTAACAACACTGAATATTATTTTTAGGCGACTACCTGATTGCGGCGTATATAACTGTTACAGTATATATATTTAGGCGTGTGTAGGGGGGGGGTTGGAGATTAACCCCTTAAACCAAAATTCAAAATTCAAAAAAAAAAAAAAAAAATGCTAATTTCAGTGGATCACAATACACTAGTTCTATAGTGAAAATTTGTAATTTTTTTCCCAAACTGTTCACGACTGCAGCATTGTATGACATACTGGTAAACACCTGGCTATAGTACGAACATTTTCGTATAGGTAGGTATGCGTGTGTGTGTATATTTATTATTATTATTATAACTACACGATGTTCACATTAAATTTAAAAGCATTATTCACGTTATTATAAACCGTATACATATACATATACATATATATATATATATATATATAATAATTTACGTTCGTACATTCGTTTACCCCGGTGTACGTTATTATCATTATGTATTTGGTTCCATATATGGTGTATAACTACGCATGTATAATCGAACCAATGAAATCATAAATGACGTAGGTATATAGACTATGTGTATAATATAACACGGGTACGTACGCGTATACGCGCGTGTGTGCGTGTGTGTGCGTGTGTGCGTGTGTGTGTGTGTGCGTGTGTGTGTGTGCGCGTGTGTGTGTGCGTGTGCGTGTGTGTATGTGTGTTATTATTCATAGTAAAACATCAAGTGGATCCATTAAATCATGTCAACGGGAGAACGTAAATTGTTATTACCGTGACATGCGTATACAACACACGCGCTCGCGTATCGTATATTGAACACGAGTGAGTAGGGATCGGGCGACATTTTATATACATAATATTATTATTATTATTATTATTATTATTATTATTATATATTATGACGTATATAGCATTAATAATCGTTTATTATATTCTCTAAAGTAAATTATTATATTAATATTCAAAGCTGGGGACGGTAATTGCATAGGTAGTAAAAACGTTGAGTTGTAAATTGTTGCTATTTTTTCGTTACTTTTTGACGTGACTAATAAAATTTGAAAAACAAATAAAATTTTACGCACAAACAGCTTTAACTTAATGTTATTATTGCCACAAGGTTTAAAACCCGTTACCGACTGAAATAAAAAAATATCCAGCGTTCTGTTACGGAACTTGTTAAAACTGTTTGCCGGTTAATGTAAGAATGTGTACGCGAACAAAACCGAACCGAATTTCAACCGTACATACATTTCAAACGTATACTATTATTAATAGTAATTAAGCGTTTGAAAAGTTTGCCGATCGCGAATCGGTCCCGAGGAACAATATTGTAAATAAATAACAATCGCGGACTATAATGGACAGGAAACGACAAAATGGATGGTCGATGGGGAAATAAGCCGGCTAAAATTCCTGACTGACTTGACTATTTCTTGACACCGACAGGGCGAAATTTTTATAAAAACATCAAATTACCGTTTTAGTATTATTGATATTATATTATATAATTACCGTGCAATTTTATATTAGGTTTTTCATTCAAAATTCTCGATTATAGATTAATCATAAAGAAAGATCTACATTCCAGAGAAAATATGTTGGAATTCAAAATAGCTAGAAAAAAAATAATAAGGTAATTGGTAATTTTCATTCGATGAATGTATAAACACAATTTTAAATAAATATCTTTTCAGTTTTCAGTTATTTTTGTCCTGGAAATTCGTTGCAGAACTTATAAATAGTCAATTCCAAAATATCATATTCTTTATTTTTTTTTTTTAAATTACATCAAACTTAGTTTCAAAAAAATTTGTTTATCCAGCTCTGATAATATTATATACACTATTTTCCGAGTAAACCTAGGTACCTGGGTATTATAGTTATAATTATTTTAATTCGATTTAAAAATGTATAAAAAAAATTAATAAACAAAAAATAAACAAATTTTGTACAATATGCGATTTGTCTTTTGCCACGAGAAACGATTATAATAATATCCATGAAGATTCCGAGTAAAATTTACTTCGATTTTTAATTTAGAAGAATCGTTTGGCGACTGCAGTTACAATATTTTCAAAATGTTATCCTTATTTCCGTAGATACACGGTAAACACATATCAATTTTGTTTTTTAACATCCCCTCCCGCATTTCATAACAGATTTGAAAATTAAATTTTGCCATGCACAATAACAAACTATATTTTCAACAGATATACTGTGTATAATATAGGTTTACGTTTTAAGACCAAACACAATTTAGATCGGAGGAACGGTATAATGAATTGGTTATCCATTTTCAGACAATAACCGTTTTCTATTTCTCCACTCCGGTCTAAATTCGATAAAGATTGAAAAAGCGATAGCAATCATTCAACATTTTCGTAGAGAATTGCTGAATCCTGTTTAAAAATAAAATCACCCTGAATACTTTTTTGTACCGACCATCGAATTTGTTTGTTCTTTTCAAGGATATACATTTATACATAAAAAAAATATTTGAGCTATTTGCTTCGAGAGATATTTAAAAGTAAAACAATCATGAATAGTTTTATGTATCTACTTTAATGTTAAAATAATAATGACAATAGTAATAACACGTTCAATGGCCATAGATTTGTTTTATAATAAATAAAAATAAGATTAATATTCTACATAAAGTATAGCCATTTGGTTTTTATTTTTTCTGTCCATTAATAACATTAAAACCAGAATCAAAAAGCAGATATCTAAAAAAAGGTCACTATTCTGACCCACTCTCGAATATTTCCGATCTATATATGTACCAAACCTAACTATGCATATATTGTAGAACTTCCTCTCTATACACAATATCCGCAACCGTAAAATCTACTGCTTATTTATGATAATAATTATAATAATCTAGCGAGAGTATAATATGGTAGGTAGGATAGTAATATTAAGTTACAATCGCGTAAAATGTGGATGACGTATAATAGTGGTGTACGTATTTAAAGTGCATTAAGTATGTCACGGCAAGTACGATAAAGTGTCTCGTTACGGCTGCTACAGATTAATTTCGACAAGCAACAACAACAATACGAACGTATAAAATCTCTGTCGTCGTGTACTGCTGCAATGCAAATTTAATTATATGGAAAAAAAGATTTTTTATTATGCACAGGGTGCGACAACTATTTTTTTTTTTTTTTTGATTTCCGCATTTTCTTCGTTTAATCAGAAAAAAAAACGAAAACGAAAAAAAACGGATGGTATTCCGCTCCAGTGTGTCACGAATAAAACATTAAAACGAAATATTGTCTCAGCTGGGTGACGAGGGTCAGGGGTCACGAGAACTGGCGATACGTGTGAAAATATTATGCAGACATTAATATGTATAACATGTTTGGAATATATGTACGTCAAAATATAAAACGGACTATTTACAATATAAGTATAATAATATGTAAAACATAAAATAACGCATGCACGGTAGGTATACAATATACATATTATAATTTTGGATACAAACTTAGGTAAGTATAGACATTTTTAACGAGACATTATTGTAGAATTGTCTGATTTGTTTGGTAAAGCTTACACTACAAATTATAAAATATTTGAATTTGACATCATTTTTTCTAATAGTTTGACGGGTACAGAATATATTATATAGGTAAATATTATAATGTATATTACCGATGAGCGATGGAAGCGGAGGAAAATTAGAGATCATGGGGGATAGAGATAATTTGGAGATTGTCAAAAAATAGAAAACTTCGATAGGCTGGACGTGCGCGCCAAAGCTAAAGCCCACTACTACGGATAGTGTCAGAACAGAACCCAACATGAAAAAGATCGAAGTTGAGACAGGAAGACGTATAGGAAAAAAGAAGTTGTAGCCTTGTAAGAACTTTGGGAGAAGAACCGAATATTGGAAGATTTTGGCGATTAATGACGAAACGGTACTAGAGACACAATAGTCCCCTCCCCCTTCCAAAAAAACCAATTAAACCTAAATGTTAAAATAACGCTTTCGTAAGATGTGTTACGGTTTTTTAATCATATAATAATCAAATATACGTCTCATTCAACATAATATTTCACATATAATAGGACATCATAATAATAACACGATAATATATTATTAAACTTTACCGCTCAAACGTATAGAAAATCGAAAAGAAAAATAGTAGATTGGTAGTTGATTTTTTTAATTTCGTAAATCTTTAGAGACAGAATAAACACTAAACGAATAGTTATGTCAAATAAAAAACAAAAAGTATAAAGTATTTAATTTTAAGAAAAAAAAGAGAAAAAGTTCTAAACGGAAATACGTGACAGTTTTACAATTCAGGTATCCCGGTTAAAAAAAAAAAATAGCTTACTGAACTAAATAATATGTAACGATTTTTGTTAATTAGTAGTATGTACAAACGAAACTTATTTTTAGTTTTTATATTTCACATATTTTACATATTACAAGATATATCGATGTAATCAATACACAAATTTATCAAAACTAAGCAAATTGGAATTTCAGAAAAACGCAGTTCGGTGGATTCAGCATGATGTACCCGAAATTGCAAATATTATAATTTTTAATATCAAATAAGAACAAAAATGTATATTTTCCAAATAAGTTACTTTATAGCTAATATACAAACGTCTAATAGCCAAATAAGAACCTGCATAGTGTACCTCTTGTTGCGTTAGTCTAACGGTTAAACGTAATTTCTGTATAATTTAAATTGTATTTTCTTTTTTTTTAACAAAAAACCAATAACCTTAACCACCGTATTTAAGTTAAAAAAATAATATAGAAATATTTTTAAACGAACGAAAAACAACGAAAAATAAGCAACAAATTATACAATATGTTTCTCCAGTTTCCAGTAGTCTTTTTTTTTTTTTCAATTCATAATCGCAAGATATAAAACCGTCTAAAGATTAAAAAATTTGATTTTTTTCACAGTTATTCAAAATATTTGAACCCGAAGTGATAAATATTTGTGTATGATAATATAAACTGACCATCATAATTTTTGCATCGATGTCAATAGTAATATATTATCGATAGGTCAGCATTTATTTCGATTGTGTTAAATTGCAATAATATTATTTAACCTCATCGTCATAAAGTTTGTCCAATCAGAGCGATGATAAAATAATAACAATAATACCTACTGATAACCCGGAATAATTGATGAGTGCACGCGTTTAAAATGTAGGTATATTTCAACAGAGACCGGCCAAAGGGGTGGTGGTGGTGGCGGCGTTTATGGGTATTAAGGGTGTATTTATTCCACCGAAATTACTATTTGCAACGTATTAGCGAAGAGTAAACAAAAATTCAATTCCAGCCGCTTTTCGTCGCACGGAGTTTAATTTGATTTTTTAATAAAACGGCTAGACTGCCGCGTGCGTGTGTTTATACGTGTATGTGTGTGTGTGTGTGTGTGTGTGTGTGAGTGCGTATGCGTGTGTATATGTGTGTGCATGTACGTGTACGTGTGTACGCGTGTCTGTTCGTGTGTGTGTGTGTATATATGTGTGTGCACGTGGAACGTTGACGTCACTCTTATTGCCGTTTGAAATTCTACAAAGGGTGCGAACGGGCGGTGGCGGCGGTGCGACACGGGGCGGGCGGCTTTGCCGGGCGAGGAGAGGCGTCGGTAGCGAGGTGTCGCCAGGGGACAGTCGATAAAATGCGGCGATAACGGTGCGGGTCACGCAATCCGAGTGTGAACTCCTCTTTGATTATACTTTTTGCCCCCCCTCCTGCAGCGGTATATACATGTTTTACTGCGACGTTATACCATTTCCCTACGCGCGCGCGCTCACACACACACACACACACACACACATACATACGAATACGGAAAAACACACAAACGAACGGACACACTGCCGCCCCCGAGCATAAATCTCGCTATTCAATTTAAAGACTTCGTTGTATTAATGTAATGAAGACCGTGAAAGAAGAAGAAAAAAAAAAAATACACCGAACATACCGAATGGACTGCACGTGTGCGTGCGTGTGTATACGGGCGATTCGGCTACACCGGTCGAAATTCGCGATTGGCTTTATGGCGGCGGCGGCGACGGACTGTGTTACGCGAGCGACGCGCGGCTGCAAGAAGGACCGGAGATCGTTCGTCGAACTGCGCGAAATTAACATCGCGATAGGTCAATATATTATCGCGGGGGCGCAGGTGAAACGCGGGGAAATAATTAGTGCCCGGGCCCACGGGCGCCCGGGAAGGGGGCTGGGCAAAAGGGGGGAGGGAAGGTCTGCCGCTTCAGAATTTCAAACATAGTTTTAACGATTAATCGATATTGTTTTATTTTACGTATATTTTGGTGTTCGGTTTCGCCGTGCCCGTCCCTAATAAATTTCCCGCGGGCGCATTTAACGGCCGAGCCGAGATTAACATCGGCCGACATCGGTACTGTATTGCGGGTATTGGGCACTTTTTTTTCTCGAACCCATAGACAAAACCGATACGTAATGATTGGCGGTTATATATAACGGACACTTTAATGCCGAGGTGTATTTATATGGAGGCCGTGCGATAAATAGCTGTTACGTTTATTCGGACTATTGCAGTATTTTGATTTGTCAATGGTATTATCGATTGTCCTTGCATAAATCGAATGAGATGTTTTGACAGATGTAACATAATGATTTTTATCAGTTTTTGGAAAAGTATATGGGTTTTTTTTTTTTGTTTTTTTTTTCATATATATTCGTGGGTCCGAGGAAATATAATGTCGGTTATCGGATATCGGAAAAAAATTGATAACAGCTCAGAAAATAACGCACAAGTATGTAATAATCGGGAAAATAATAATAATATTATCGGTTTTTAAAAATATTTTCGTTGCTTCGTAAAGCGGACGTTTTCACATCGTACTTTTTCCCCGGGTAACCTGTCCGAAGTGGTTCTACACGGCAAATCGGTGATTATTTTCGATTAAAAGTCCGGCCCGAGTGCGTGATCGAGTTGGAGAGAGAAGCGAGCCACGTGTTAAGACTGGGAACCGTTGGTCCCATGCTATGCAAATAAAATTTCCGAATATTATTTTCCGGATTTTATACCGCCCCCCCCCCCCCTCGCCACCAATTATTATTACGTCGAAAGACATCTGAACACCTACGTAGAAATAATATATTATACAGTGTACAATTGAAATATTTAAATAGTGATTCCATTTAATTATCGTCTCAACATCCGCGAAATGCGAATCAAATAATTATTATGCGTTCGAAATAGCATTTTTATTTTTGAAATGATAACAACAATAATTACGCGTTATTACGCGAATCCCGTCGCGTCATCTGCCCCGCTATTATAATATCATTATGCATCTCAAGACAAAAAAAAAATAATAATAATAATAAACGGTACGCTGCTTAAAATTATGATAATATTGTTTTTAAACGATATTACATTTTTTTTTTTTTTTTTTTTTTTTTTTTTTTAGATTCCGAGTGTAGCGAATAAGAAACAATTCGTCTTACTGAGATGTGCTTTTTTTCTCGGAAAACTCTTTTTCGGTTCGTAAAATATGCTACGGTTTCTTCATAGTATACCCCAAACGAATCAAAATTCCGGCTCGGTAGTACTTTATTCGAAACAAATGTTTGGGTTGTCAACAATTTTACAAAAAATTTTAAAAATCTGACGACAATAAACGGTGATTTTATTTTTGTTTATAAAACCGGATTATCATGGCTATATACACGGGCAAAAAGTCACGGCTATTACTATAACGTCACTGTTTTACAGAGTTCCGGTTAGAATTTTTTTTTTAATTGCGATTGTTAATCGTTGCTTACAGTATGGTTTATATATAGAGCGTAAGTTGGAGTATACACCCTGTATCGTATACCTTCCAAAAAGTGAAACACGATTGCATACGACATTATCTGATTTTTGATTGCAATAGGGCACCCAGAAGGAGGGCTTTGGCACTAAAACCCTACCTATTTTTTTTTTTTTTATAAGCTTACACATTATTCTGGAATATGGATTCGTTTGAATTATATTACAGTCAATTTTTTAGGTATTTAATTATTATGATTTTATATTTATTTACAGATTTATGTTTGATAGTGATTAATAGTTGTACTTTGTACATAATAGAGCTTGTGATAATCACCGACCGTACCGACGACTGCACAAGAAATTTTAAGCATTGTTGCCAATTTTCATACGAGTATATATCACACGAGTGAACTAGAAACAATTTATAAATACATTTTTCCATAAACGTTTATTTTTAACAATATCAAATATCAAATACATATTAATATGCTGGAAATTTTGTTATTTCAAATAAATAGGTATTTTTTTCCTTCAGTTCGTCGTTGATGCTCACACGTGTCTATATCTTATCGAAGTTTAGTAATATCAAAAATTCTATTAAACTTATAAAATCCGAAAAAGGAAACAGTTGGTGCTTTTAAATTTTAATAGGCAAGACCGATTATCATCTACTAACATATTAGTTAATACAATTCGTTAATAACGTGAAAATAAAGAAAATCAAAAAAAAAGATGTTATTCGAATTGAAAATATTATAAAGGCTTATAGGTGAGTATAAAATTCATACAAATTTAATGAAATATTTAAAAGTATAAGATTATAGATGCTCAGGAACTAAAATTTAGGTATTTTAAAGTATTATTTTTTTTAACTACCTATGATTTTATTTATTTATTAATTATTTTATTAGTAATAATATATATATATTTTTTTTTTTTTGTAGTCATAAGCGTGTCCACGGCGGCAGCTTAAAGTGCCTGGGCTGCTCCTGCAATTTTCGAAAGGCGCCGGTCAACCGAATTTTGTCTAGTTAGTTACAACTTTTATTTAAAGAAAAAATGTCTTATGCATATTTTATAACAAAATATTTTTCTCTATCAGTCTATCATTTTTTTTGTTCTACATACTACCATCATATATTTTTTTATTTACTTAATTATTTAGCGGTGTAATCCAGGCCTATACATAAATAATATTTCAATCGTTAAATTTAAAGGTACTGAAAATATTATAATTTATTAATTGTAAATAAGTAATAGAGACATTTTTTTTAAATTATATAAATATATTTAATTGGGGGGGACTAACTTCCCCCTATTTAATGGGAATTTGTTCGGTTCATTAAATGATTTCGGTCATTAGCTATGCAGCCGCTGAGGATGAAGTCTAGTCACGCCTATGTTTGTAGTTCAAACAAAATGATTGTACCGGATAATTATTGAGTGATAATTATTCAAATAAAATTATAGAATAAAAAGTTTTATACACGCAATCGTGTTGATTAATTTTTTTTTTTAAATAATCTATCAGTAAACATACGCAATCGTGCTCTACTACTGTCAAATACCTTTCTATCTACAACAATGGCCTATCCATAATGTCGATTATGTCGAGATTTGTTTTGATTTTTTTTTTTTTTTAATTTCACAGGTAAACTAGTTATTGAAACGTTAGACAATTTAAAAATTAATAATTCGCTAGACGTCAGAACAATATTATTACACAACTATTAAACCTATAGTACCTACAAACGATCGCAGTTCTCGTACCTGCAAGAAAATTGAACAAGCACTTTATTCGACATTGTATTATGGGACTGCGGTTCCATTATATTTTACATATACAATTTAATTGTGCGTGTACGGTAAAAGATCGTGTACATGAGTTAAAAGTTTACACGTTAAACCTTACTTAATTCTTGTACCATAACCGGAGTCGTGTGTACTGCAGGGTTTAAAAAAATTAATCGAACAACATATTCATTGTACCTCGTCTGTTCTTGATACTGTGTAAAATAAAATGCAAATACAAAATTAGTAGGTATATGGTAATTAAAAACATTACGCGTCGTATTCAATAGAATCGAACTAATGCCACTATACTAGTTCGATTTTAAAATTTTCAGAAAGTATTTCAAACTAAGATACTCTAAAATTTTCACTTCTCACATTGTATTATTTTATGAACTCCGTACATACGTATATTATTTTCTCTACGATAAGACTTACTAATGTATTTCGTTAAATTTCATTATCTTGTAATTTGTTCTAATTTTTTTTTTTTTTATTCCAACGTTTATTATAGACGATTATTTATAATAAATAATAATGTAGGTACACGGTGTGATTGGTTAATCGATTGGGTATTGTATTATACTGTTAGTAATATTAAGATATACTCGTAAATAATTAAAATAATGATAGTATATAATTATAATTATAATACGGTCGTTCATCACAAACCCCAAACAACAACATGTCGGCATGGGGAGAGTTTCCGGGGGAAGTTACTGATCAACTTTAATTATAGCAGCTTGTTTTCAAACAAATTGTTGAAGGGATAGACTTGAGTCATATATACATATATAATATATATATATATATAGTTAATGGCAGTCGAATGAAGAGAATTCACTGGTATTCTGTGGTAGAAGAGGTTTAATTAAAAACAAACCCCTGGTCGTCTTTCTCTCTCTCACTATCTCTCTCTCTCTCTCTCTCTCTCTATCTATCTATCTATGTCTTTCTATCGCTTTTTTTCTCGTGTACTCTAGTCGAACTTTACAAAACATCGAAAAAAAAAAATATCCTTACTGAAATTTTCACCTTGCGCAGAAGCTGTCAAAATGACAGATGTCCAACAAAACTACTCGGATGATTACGAAAAGTTGTTGGCACTTCTAAAGTTTTTTCACACAAAAACACCTGTCCTTTTAATTATTTTATACTTTAAAATTATTGTTATTTTATTTTTAACAAAACAAAAAAAAAAAAAAAAAAAAAAAAACAAAAATTGTTGATAGTAGAATGTAAACTATAGAAGTAAATAACACAATTATCTGTACTCTCTCTATAAGACATACATACGGTTATCTATATAACCGTATGCACGATTTTCATTTCACTCGATTTCCAACTCCGACGACATTTAACTGAACTAAGTTTTTATCTAGAATAGCTATGGATGTATGTATAAATATTTTTGATTCTCAATGTATTTTATAATTTTATAAGATATTTCGTCATCACCACCATACTTCTTTCATTTCTCCCGATCCTATATAATATTTCTCCAATCTAGTATTGCTAAATTTACCAAATTCTTTTGAACCACATCCAACAACACTTTTCCTGGACTTCCCTCGGAGTTTCTCGTCTCCCGTTTTCACTAGGAAATGTTGCCCACTAATTATGCAGATGCACCCTGTGCGTTTTTCAATATTAAACGTGGACATAATATTTGACTAAACGTTCACTTCACCGGTTGTTTGATATTGTACGTGCGTTGTAGCTGCACGCACTATCAGTTATACCGAATTAAAATCGGCCAGCGGCACAAAAAAAAAGTGCCCAAAAAAAAAATAATAATAATAAAATAAAAATAGCGACGTTTCGGAAGCCAAATCCGTCCCCTTAACACCGTCGTTGAGATTACGGTGGGGAGTCATAGGGGGGGTGCGGCGGCTCGGCGGCGGTGTTGGAAAAAATATATCTTCTACCCGGCCGATGGCGCGGCGGTATCAGTCTGATTACGAGGGCGGCAGTGGCGATGGTGCGGCAGCGACCCGTTCAAAGGCGCCGCGCGGCATGGTAGAGGTGAAGTAGGAAGAGATGGAGGACGTGGCGGTGTGGCGATGAACGAACAAGCGAGCGAGCGAGCGAGCGAGCTAGTCCCTACGCACGCATAATATTATCGGTAGAAGAGGCGGCGACGACGGCCGCGCGCGTCCCGGATACCGCCGCTACTGTTCACCCAGCGGCGTCCCGAACACACGATTCTACCGCCGCGCGCGCCGTGCGTGTGTGTATATAGACGTCGTTAACGGCGTGCAATTGAATTATACACAGCGACGTTCGCCCAATCCCGCGCCAACGGCTCATCGGCATCGCGCCTCCGCCCCCCCCCCCCCCCCCCCCCCCCCCCCCCCCCCCCCCCCCCCCGATCCGCTTGAAGAACACCGCGGCGGCGGCGGCACACGGTCTACCCCGGCGATGTATACGCGCTCGTAAAATAATTATTTATAAACGAGGTCCGTTTGTTTTCGTTTTTGCGCGGCACAAGGGCTTGGGTGTACGCCGTTTATCCCGCACGAGTGTCGACCGGCGACGGCGAGGCCGAACCGTTCGCTTTTATCCGATTTCGCAGTTAAAAAATTAAATAAATAAATTATGACCGAGCGCTCCTCGTTATACCGGCTATATGGTTACGGGTTAAGTTGATGCGGGTTCAAGTGCGGTACACGAGAAGACGAACGCTGGATGACGTAATGCGAAAAGCGAAGGGAGTTTCGTAACGCGATAAGAGAGAAAGCTAAAGAGCGAAAGCCGTGCAGCAGTGACCGGGAAATTAGAACGGGAGACGGGGTTGCGGTGACGAGAAAACATCAGGGCGTGGACGTGTGGGACGACTGCGAAACGATATAGTGATCGGATTGGGTAAGACACGAAAGTACGTGTATTAAGGAGAGAGGGCTCAGGTGCGCGGCGGCGCCAATAAGGCGTGAAATATGAGAAGACACGCGGTGCGGTATGAAGCGAGGTCTATAATAATAATAATAATAATAATAATAATAATAGTATGAAGTGGTATAAAAGTAAGAAGAAAGGGCTGCGGGGCGGTGCACGGCAGAGTAGAGACGGATATACGTAATCGAGAACGACACGGAGACAGCCGTTAAGCAATGCGGCGGGAAGCTGAGGACCGCGGCCGACCCCCGAACAGCCGAGGGGAATAATGGCGGTGTGGGGAGAACGTGAAGAAGAAGATTTATACTTTTACGCGCTCGTAATAAGCGAGTTGCCGGCCGTTGGGACGGGCCATACGTCCGCGGCTCAGGGGACCCACAATATTATAGAAGTACGTCTCGACGGTGTGCGTGTGCGGCGATTTCGACGTCGTCGCGTACGGCTCCCGCCCGCGAAAACGCCACTTTGTAAACGGTAAAACTGTCTCTCGGCACGTGTGTCGTCGTTGTGATGAAAAATCGGTACTCGCCTAATTCATTGCTGCGGTTTTATCGGACTCGATTAGGCGTAGGTATTGACGGGCTGGATTTCGGTTATAATATAAAGAGCGCGGTATAATTCCTGCATTTATCGAGGGCTGAACCGTACCGGACTCCCGTGTCGAATTCCCGTCCCGCTGTACACGAATAATATAATACAGACAATATAATACAGACAATATAATACTATAAACGCTGCGACAACGTACGTATTAATTTAGGCGCGATTAAATAACGTGTTAACGTGTCAAATTGTCGACAGACGAAAATCCATCACTACCCCTCTCTCATTTAAAATGTATCGTTTCACAGTACACATAATACACGGCGCACAATAATTATTGTGTCGTGGTAAATGCAGCTACTATTCACGAATGTTTGAATTGATTGATCAAACAACGTAATTATAACATTTTAACGTGAAAATAATTGAACATAAATGTTCGATCCGCGTAGTCGTCCGTATACCGAGTCTTCATCGTTGAAGATTTACAATATTTTAATTGGCGATAGTGGAAACAATGTCCATGTGAAAACCGCAATTTCCCTGTCACTTAATTTTATTACAAATTCAAGTAGAACGCGACTTAGACGTTGATATGGGCATATAAGTAGTCACTTTTATGAGTTAGAGTGAGCTAATAAAAACGGTTTTATGAAACAGAATCCGTGGTTGGGTGTAATACGGGATGGGACATGGGAAAATTTGTATAGAGATCTAGAAACCTGAAAATAAAAAAAATAAAAAAGAGCTGATACTGGAAATAGGAGAGGCCACTGTTGTAGGTGAGAATTTGGGAAGGTAGGATACATAAGGTTATTTCATTTATATCTGTAAGCAACGATAAACCATTGTTTGACGAAAGACGATTCTGAGCGCTAATACGTAATTTGAATCGTTGTAATTTTTTTTGCGATTTAATTTCAAAAGGCTTATTTTGGAAATTTTACCACGTCTAGTCCAATATAAGTAATGTTACCAAGTTTCAAGTCTCTAAGTGTATTTATAACCGAATTACAGCAAAAAAACTCCCAAAAATTAAAATTCCTTAAAAGCTCGAAAAAGACTCAAAAGTTTTGGTGATGATAAGGCGAGAAATTAAATCAAAAGGGCAACAAAAAAGATGTCCTGTGATTTTTCGATTAAATCATTTTGTCTGGTAGAAAACGTCGTCCGTGTTTTGTAAAATAATTAAATCGTAAAATTGTACGTTTCCATAGGTTTTTTCCCGCTTAAATGCTTGTATTGAAAAAAAGCGTTAAAAATTTAAAAAAAATAACTTGTTTAAAGTATAATTTAAACAACTTGAGATTTCAGAAAAGTTGTTACTCGTAAAAATTGGAGCAAGTTTACTAGGAATAAACGTGTCCAGGGACTAGAACAAAGAAAGAAATAAACAGCATTATAAAACCGATAGCTCCCTCGCCACGCTCGGAATCTGAAAAAAAGCGAAGAAGACGTAGATAACCTAAATTAGCTAATAAATATATATATACATTTTTTTATACTATACCGAATATCCTGTATTCATATAATAATAATGTAATCTGTACGTGCGTATGAATAATCAATCACTCACCTGAAAAAAAAAAAAAAAAATACATCGTTGAAATATGTTTACGATTATACTATTTATAATAACTATAATTTTTAAAGTCTAAAAAATAATTTTGAAACAAATACATTTCATTGAACAGTACGATAATACGACGAATGCATTTAAGTAGATACCTAGTTAATTACTTAAACGTATTGTTATATGAATGCGTTTGTTTGCGTTTCCAATTTTAAGTGATTTTAAAAATAATTATTACCAATACATATATACCTAACTAATATATCATACAAAATTTAAAACGTGTAGGAAATTTTTAATCATTTAAAATAGCTTGTATAACTCCTATAAATAATAAAATTTCTTAATTCTTCGATTGTAATATAAATTGCAAATTCCCGTCCCAAAAATGAACTAGTTCAATACTAGGAATCTCGTGGGCTATCACCTGCTATCGTGTTAGGATACTGGGGAATGAAAAAACTGATGAATCAATCACGATTTGGCCTTCTACAAAAATACATTTTATCAGATCACATGGGGCTCTTAAAGTTATTACAACAAACTATCGGAAAACAATCTGTATAAAGCAATTTGAATAATTTAGCTATCTCCGTATAGGCTTAGAAATGTAAATCATGACGTAAACAATAAAATAAGATTCAAGAGACATAGCAATGATACTAAGTTGAACGAGAATAGGACATATTATACACCTAACGCGTTTCTTGTCCTTATCAGCAAGGAACCATCACTTACTTGTGACATATGCAGCAAACACCTACCAATCAAATCTGCACCAAACACACATTAATGCATGTAAATTGTATAGGAAACCCACTTTTCTAAAATATGGCGCGAAGAAATTATTGTAACAGCCTGTAATTATATACGTATACACTATCAAGTGTTAGTTTATATCACGAATTTTAAACCATGTAATTTTTAAGAAAAGTTAAGGCGTCAGCCTTGACGATCATATTAATAGATGTTATTTAAGACTTTATTGTAATTAAAAAATAAATGAATATTATAAAAGAAAATTCATTAATTATAACGTATAGATTATTTATGTACGAGGAGTATATAACTTATTTTATCGCACGTTGTATACGTGTATATTGCGTTAAGACGCATAAACTTACAAC